GTTGGAAACAGTATTAAAAATTATTGCCAAGCAGTTATAAATGTAATTACAATTATAATTTGTAAAAATTGAATTTTGCGGTGTTTGTTAAAATATGAAAAGAAGTCGCCCAACACTTAACAATTAAAAATGTAATTTTAAGGCAAATTTCTAAATATTGAGGTAAATATTTTTTTGAGTGCACTCACACACACTCGGGCAAATACAAACAATTCCAATTTCTGCACTGTAGAGTATCGAATTTCATCTTTGATTCGAATTTTTGAGCGTTAAATCGCCAAAATCATTCGTTAATTTTGACAATTCTCTTTGTTGCAATGTGCTGATGGGGGTGGCAAGGGGACAACTGCTACTGCTGCTGCTGCTGCTGCTGCTGCTGACCAACGGTCAGCTGACCCCTGATCCCTGACCCGCAGACAGGGTGTCATCAGCGTCAAGACATGTGGGTGGATGTGAATTGGAAAGTGCGTGTGCTGATTGCAATTGTCCATCGGTTGAGATTAAAAATTTATTTCGAAATTAGCGCAATTGTTGGCATTGTTGCTCCCTTTTTGCTTTTACACATACGCAGCTCGTAGCTGACAATAAAGAAAAGGGAAAACAATACAAATATAAAATACAAATAAAATTGATGCCTTTCCCGTCTGACCGTCTGTCTGTATGTCTGTTTGGCTGTCTATCGCCTCCGTAAATGATTGAAAATATTTCTTGATTGTTTTCTACGAATTCGCGTGTCCGAAATGCATTTCATAGATATCAAAGAATGTTGCTTTTAATACTTCTTTGCCAATGGATTTGCTGAATCCGTTTACAAATTAAAACCAATATTGGGGTGTTTACTTTACCTCGGTTAGAAATTGTGAAATTGAATTCAATACAATAACATATTTGTTAGATTTCGATTTTTCAATGGAAACGAAGAATAAAGTTGTGTTTTGTACTGGATTATTGCTGCTTTCGTTATATTAATTTATTATTTAAGTCTGCTTGTTTGCTGCAAAATATATATAATATTAGAATTTATAAATAAAATAATAAATAATACAATGTCAAAATTAAATTTCAAGCTAAGTGATTTTTAAATTAAAAACAAGTAAATGCAAATTGGAATGGGAAAAACAATTGAAAATAACATCTCGATTTATTTAATGATTTTATTTTAAATAAAGCTGACTTATAATTATAACCTTAAGCTAATTTGTATTGAAGACCAATAACAGGTAATGTCGTTAGCTGAATACTCGCTTTAATTTAATTAATAATTAACAGGTTAAGATTGAAATTATAATGTAAAATGCTTGCAAAAAATTAATGGATTAGGAAAACAAAAGGAAAACTAAAAGTGTAAAGAATAAATAAATAATAAAATAGTTAAGTAAATAAACATTTGATTGGCTACTGTCAATTGTTTTTCTATTTCACTATGAAATTTATACATTTTGTACTATTTGACAAATATGAGTTTAACTATTATTATTTATGTATTTGATCTGTCGTCCCTTGGATCGATGGCCAGAATGTTGGGATGATTGGACAACCTAATTATTATCAATGAATATTGCATTACATTACTAAATAATTAAACATTTTACTTGTTTAGTATCAATGGATATCAGATTTTCGTTACTTAATAAAAATAATAATAACTTAAATAAATAAAAAATACTTAATAAAATAACAAAAAATTAAAAAAAAAATAAACTCGTCTTCTTAGATTTTACAAGTACTGTGTTGGGCAGTTCCAAGTCCAATCGCTTCTAAGCTGACTGACCACCATTTCTGAATAACACCAACCCCCTCCCGCACTGAGTGTAGGGTCTAGTTTTCGGGAAAAACGCCACCGGACATATCAATCAGACGGCAAGAAATTGGATCGGACTGGGAGCGTGTGGAACTGTCCGACTGACTGGCCATAAAGCCAAACAATGGCGTGGTAATGGCTACTTTAAAATGACACCATCCCGCTGACCCGGTGGCGGTGGTTGTAGGTTAATCGCTGGCCCGCGGGGCCAACACCACCCGCTGTTATCATCTGGATTAGACGGGACCCGCCCTTTGCGACCGGGTGATAAATGCAGTGAGAACGCCACGGGTGACCGGCAACCCAAATAGAGTTGTCAACGTCAACTGCACTGCATGCAAGAGTTGTCAATAATATTTCAGTTTGGCGTTTATTCCGCAAAATAACAAAATGCCACTCGTCGAATGTTTTATGATTCAATTACGTTCAATAGAAAAGTCACTAAAAAGTGTTACATATTAATTTCAGGCACACACACACGAAGACACACACACACACACTAACACACACCTCAATTGTCAATTGATTTTTGTGGTTTGCAACAAAATAGTTGAACAAATTGTGCACTTTTTTGCAGCAGACTTTTTTGTATGGGTGTTGCTACTGTAAGTGCCCCGCCCCTTTCAACACTATATCTATTCACATGCATTGGTTTTGTCAATGTTGCTGTTGCAGTTACAGTTGTTGTTGTTGTTGCTGTTTGTTGGCCAGGTGTAGCTGGCCGTTGTTGACTGTTTGTTTTGCATTAAACGGTTTGTTTTTGCTAACCAAAGTGTTGATTTTATGGCCAACCGCCGTTTTTTGTGCATTTCACAGCGAAATTCAAGCAGTCAAGTGTAATGGGATCATCTACACTGGTATTTAAAAGACACTCAATGCGAAGGAGTAGCCAAATATCTGTCGAATGCCCCCACACAGTTAGAGTACAGCAATATAAAGACCACAATGTAGCTTCATCGTTGACTTACACAAAATGTTAATGTGCCGAACTATAAAACAAACTTCATTACACGGCACTAAAAATTGCCGCAATGAAGTCAACTAAAACTAAAGCCGAATAATATACATAAAATACATACATAAATATATATATATATATAAAAGCAAACTCAATTTAAATTCAAAAGGCCAAAAGCCACCAAAAATGGTGCGTGCTTATCGCCGATGCCGCCTTTTGGACCCGATAAGCTCGATAAAGCGTTCACAAAATAAATTAAAAATACATTTTTTGAGGTAAATGTGGCACTTTAAAGGCAACTTGAGAAAATCACATAATAAATATAAAAACACAATTAAATAAGTGCATAGAAAACAAATTCGTAAAAAGCAAGAAACACACACAACAACAAAATGCAAAACAACAGCAACAACAACAACAAAAATACACAAATAAAAACACAAATTAAAATAACACCAAGAAAATTTCAAGTACTCAACGTGAAAGGGCAACACGAACCACGATCAACACAGTCAACTCCCTTCCCTTTCCATTTCCCCTTCCCCTTCCCCTGCCGCTTCCTCTTTTCACAACTAACTTTATGTTTAAAGACATGAAAATAAAAAGCAGATATGCCCTAACAATTAAGAGGGTCCAAGCGAATAAGCGTGTGCCCCACTCTGGAACTAAATATATGATTATATATAATCCCAGTCTGAAGGAATTTTGGCATATACTTTTTAATAATAATAAATAAAATACAGATAAAGTCAAAGTCCTTTGATATGCATACCAATTTTTAGTTGTTGTTCTCCTTATTATTTAAAAGACAAGAACAAGTTAGACTCGTTCAGTCGACACGGCTCGACTTGAACATATTCTGTACCAAACTGTTAAATACTAAAAAAGCTTGTTTATAGTAGTTAGTTCATTATGAAAATACATTCACTGTTTTTCATGCGATTTTCATTAAACTTTTACAATTGATCAGATATATATATCTTTGAAATGGTGTATTATAAGATAACTTGTCTCCAAATTGGAAGTTTCTAGCTCTTATTGAGACCTCAGAGATGAGATCGGCTAAATCAACTCATCTGATTTGCCTGGCCAAGAATATATATATACGTCGGAGATGCCTAATCACTCTCTTAGATACTTATGAACAAATTCTTATTAACCTTTATCCCATTTATTTTTAAAAAATAACCCGTTGACTTAAAAAAAATATTTGTTATTTTATATAAGTACAAAAGTAAACACATAATACTAAAAAGTATATTTTATTTATATGTACAAAAACTATACCTCTATTTACACTTAGATGAATAAGGAATTCGCCTAACTCTTATAGCTCAACATAAGTCAAGTCGCTTTATTCTCTTGCATATCTGGCCGATGTCAATGTTGTGAACGTGACCAGCATTATTTTTTGTTTGTTTACTGTTTGTTCGCACGTTTTGCGGAAACGGTGTCCAAAATATTTAGAGCACAACGAATGGTGTCTCATAATTGGAGCAGAGTCGCCCAGTCGCAGAGCTAGTTGACTGAACTCGGCGCATGGCAAATGGCGGCGACATAAATTTACAGCCCAAAAAGAAAACCAAGAAATACAACGCTTAAAAAACTGACAAAAATGCTAGAAACTGCTGCATATATACCATTATATGTATATGTTCTATGAAAAATGCGTTCGGTTTACCATTAATCCACAACCATGATCCAGAGCGACAGATCATTACACACGCGCGCACCAAAGCAGCTCCCCCCAAGACAACGAATTCTCTATGGAAATTTATTAATAAAAACTGACAAAAAAAATAGAGAAGAAAGGAGATGAGAAGAAAGCATAGAAAATATACAAAAAGCGAATGTGGAGAGATGCATGGTACACGTGTCTGTGTACATAATACATCCGATATGCGACATCGCACCCCATACCATCATTCCAAACTATCCATCTAGTTGCATGTGCCCTGCCCCGGGAAGTGGCTGTTGCAGTTGCTACTTTGTTGTAATTTATAGCAGCGCCGCCAAATGACATGCTAACTAATAGTATCATCATAATTTATGCATGCATTGCTTATGTAATTTATGCCCCTGCCCAAAAACCTACCCCACCAGCACCAGCCCTCTGGCGTTGAGGATCCGGTGCTGACAGAGGTCATAACACCCGTCAAATCGTGGGTTAATAGCCCACTCTGATCCCGGCAGGGCAGCATTTAAATATCGATTACCGATCGAAACGATTGCACGTGCGAATTTGAACTTTACTTGGATTTGTACATTTATTATTATCGGTGTACTTTTCATTTAACTTGGCTAACATGAGATTTGATTTTTACTGTCCGAGAAACTTTGTGCTTTGAATAAAGTGGCTGGTCAACGTTCACCAATTGCTATTTCCATTTTGGGCACCACGTCCCATGCCACCGGCCAGTCCTGCAAACACCATACTCAATGATAATCCAAAGTGTTCCATGTAATTCTCAATTAACTCACCATTGCGAGACATGCCTCCGCCATAGCCTCCATAATTGCCGCCCATTTGGCTCATACCCATCTGGCCCATACCCATTCCCTCTCCTCCAGTTTTGTGTGGATTTGCGTAGCGCATCATTGACTGATTGTATGCCTCATATGGAGCAGACTGTGAGGTACTCGGAGACATGGCCGGTTGGAAGTTGTTAGCTTGATTTGAGTGCAACCACTGACGTCCACCACCATTAATAGTATTAGCATAGTCACCCGGATTCATCTGACCCATCTAAGAACATGGCTAGTGGATCAGTAATTTAATTTGTAATCCTACCCAAAGTTTTACCTGTGGATAGACGGACATTGACTGGCCAGCTTGTCCTCCATGTCCACCGCCTTGGCCTCCCATATAGCTCCAGTTGAATTCCGTTCCATTGTTACCATAATCCATTTTGACTATTAAAATTAACCAAAAATTTATTTAAAAATTTTAATTTCTCAACAAATTTTTGTGTTTATTTGAATTTTTTTGTAACCAGAAGTTTTCTGCTAGAAGGTTGAAATTCGAATGAAATCTGAATTTTTTCTACTAAAACATATTTTTCTTCTTACAACCAAATCACTGACTACTTGATTTCCAATATTCCAGATATGTTTTTAATAATTACAGAGTATTGGTAAAATATCCTAAATATATTAAATGCATTAAATATTCCAGATTAATTTTTAATAAATATTTTTTTTATTACTTTTATTACTACAAAAATCAAAAATTCCATTTCATTTTTCATATTTTATTGCTCGCATTTTCCAGATTTTATGATCGCTTATTATCTTTTTTAAGTGTATATTTTGGCCAAATATTCCAGATTTCATTGTTCAACGATTAATAATTAGTATTCTATAAAATTCAAAGGCTCGTTTTTTGTAAACATTTATACTAAATGTCCACCTGTTAAGCACAGCTGTCTTTTCTCTAGCAGTTGCCTGTAAAACAGGTTTCTGCCAACGGTTATATTTAGAGCGCTTGGAACAATTGGATACTTAAGGACACACTCCCAAACACATTCAAACAATAGCAATATCCTGCTAGGGAAGAGGTGCGTCTTCCAGACGGACACACGTAAAAGGAGATGACCTCATAAATCGCATCGTTATGATCTTCATAAATATATAATTGCTTCATATTCATAACGCTAATCGCTCAGCTCGAAAGGACAATGCGGTGTTGTCCTTGAATAAAATGCAACCGCTGTGCAAACCGATGTTGAGCTGCACTTATCTACTTCTACCTGCACCATTATATATACATATAGATAGTTGACAGTTTTTTATGGTCGACAATGTTTGAACAGCTCTGCTAAGCTAATGATTTATGGCCCAAACGTTGGTCGACTGCATTTGTGCTCTGCTTTTTAGACAGCAATTTAAACGCCATAAAATGATGGATATAATTAGTACACCAAACAAGTAAATTTATCTATTTGTGTTTGGTTGTTTAAAAATGCTGAAAAGCGTTTTAGATGCATTTTCTGTGCATCTTGGCCATAAAATTGTTTGTTCACCTGTTGAGAGCATTTTTTATGCTCAGTTCTCTCATATGTGTGTCAGGCAGTTGAAAATTTCATAAATTTCCCACTCATGCCACGTGCCAGTTCAGTGTCACTGTCACAGTGCCGGAAAAACTCGCCCCTCACAAGGAAAATTGTTTCGTGCCCCGAAATGTTATTTTTCTTTTGTTGGATTTATTTATAGTTTCATTTGTTGTTTTTTTAATAGTAGCGTTCAGTGAACTGTTTGTTGTGCAGCTAGTTTGGACCGTATCGAAATATGATTATAGGCTCGATGGAAAAAGAGAAAAGTCCATTCTAATTGCTGACAATTAACACCTTTCAGTTGAACAGCCAGAAACAATGCACATTTGTCAGGCACACCAATTTCGGTTCGGGGGCGTGCGTCCTAATGTTTTCCCAAAAACATTTTGATTTATCAACTCTTTTTAAATTCCAAACATGGAACCATCTTTCACAGCCCAAATGCAACATCAGCCGTGTCAGCAAAGTCATACGCATTAAGTCCAACAACAACCCGAACCGAACCGAACCAAAACCGAACCGAATAGATACACTCGAAACGATTTAACTCTTTAACCCCGCCCACAACCGTTTTGACCCCAAACACGAAGAGACTGCAGCTGAGACATGCTCGGGGGCCTATTAAAAAATTGTTTATGAAAACAAACATTTTCACAGCGATTAATCATCGGCATTGCTTGGCGCGTGGGGGGAAATGGCATTGCCTCAGTAAGCCCCCGCTCCCCTCTTCCGACCTCCTGCTCACAGCCGATGTTGAGTTGATGTTGATGATGATCTCCATGGTAGCCAAGTAGCCAAAGCAGCAGCCGACATCATCTGGCAGCCAGCGATTAGGCGGAGTGCCTTCCATTTTCCACTCGGAAAGCATTTTAAGGGCCTCTATATTATTAGGTGGGGGCTGGGAACGGGGTCGGGGGGAAAGTGTTAAATGCCTGCCAATTAGTGCCGTCTGCTCGTTGAGCTCCATTGAGAGATCGTTCCCCTAATTGGCTAAAATATGAATTGCTATTCAATTTAATCAGCTTCATAAATCGCTTGCCATTGTGAGAGGCGTTGCTGCCATTGAATGTGGAATCGAGAAAGTTGCTCTCTATTTTTAAGATGACAGCTGCTCAAGCATTAAGCTATAAATAAGTATTGCCATATACACTGTGATAATAGTATATATAAATAGCGATTATTGAAATGTTTCATAAAAACGAAGGTCGCTAGAGAAATCTGAGTGAATATATATATCAAATTAATGACTATTTTCACTTAAGCTATTGTTTATTGTTCTTACATTTTCAAGATCAATTCAATTTTCTTTACAAATATAGTTATTTTTATATATAGTGATTTTTAAGATGTTACATAAATATTATTATCGATAAAGAAAGTTGAGTGAATATATATTTTATCTGTCTACAGATTGACTATATTGCGCTTAATTTAATATGTATAATATAATATGAATCTACCACAAAACAAGAATTGATTCTAAGCGATTAATTTGAAGCTAAGTATGAAAACATATATTGAAAGTGTGATAAAATTTACTCTTTCAGCTTTTATTGGGGAAAAAATAGTTGACTTTTATGAGAGTATATTTAATAAATTAAAAATTATTATTATTATAGAAAATCGTATAATATTTGTTTGCTAATTTATTATTTAGAACAAACACTGTCTGAATTTAAGAAAATTGTCCTAAAATTAAAATACTGAAAAAAACTGAAAGCTAGAAACAATTTCTGAATCCATACATAACAAAAAAACCACCTGGAAATTAGATATTTATTCTACCTCATTTTCTACCTCGAATTAAAAAAAGAAAAGTAGTGTTTTTAGAAAGACAGAACCTTCCATTCTAGAAAAATACTTTCTAAATAAAAAAGTGGATTACTATTGCCGCTTCAAGAATGCCAATTATCTAAAATTAATGATGAATGCTTAAATGCATATGTGCATATTATATTTAGTCTTTAAGTAGTATAAAATATATGAATTACTTTCGCATCATTGCATCAAAGTGAACTCTCGATGTCAATGTAACTACAATAACTCTTCGGAATGATTGAAAAATGCAATTTTCATTTTGAGTTAATGGCATGCGACACTTTTGCGGATGGAAGTGATGTCATTAGTATTGGCAGTGTGAGAGAAGCCACTCACAGCCAGCACATTAGTTGTTGGAAAATGGCGAACATCTTGCGATTTAATTGCAGTAGAGCTGGCTAATGTCCTCTGGCAAGGAACTGAACTTTTCGGGTCATCTGTCAATGTGGCAAAATGTTGGCAAAGGTTATTGTCTGTATTTCATAGCAATTGCTGCTGTTTTCAAATAAAATGTGTAATATTTCAATTTTTGAATGTGCACAGGACGAAAGGACAACAGGACAACAGGATGCTGGGCCGGGTGCATCTGAAGGGAAAGGCAGAAAAATAGAGTTGTCAGAAATGCGAACATGACACAATTTAAAACTGCTGACCTTTGTCCACTGCCAGAGCTCGATTCATTAGTTGGGGTGCCAAAGGTCCTCCTCCAACTCCTCCATTTAGCCACCACAGGCATTGTGCATTGTTGGGTTTATTGTTATTGTTATTATTTCAGAGAGAAAGAGAAACAGAGAGAGAGAGAGAGAGAGAAAGAGTGACTGAGTGTGTTCCCTGCAACTGTCAAACGGAACTATTTGGCTTTATGTTCCTGGGTGCACTTCTATGGTCTTTTAGGGGGGGTGGGCGATGAACGACGGCACGCGCCGCCTTCTGCCTTGGGCTAATGACGAGGCCCGACCCAAACGGAAGCCCGTTTCAAGTGCCTCTTTAAACTGTGCCACAGAGTCCGTCCGTCCGAAAATGACACCCGCACGAGACTGAAACCCGAACAGAGACACAGACAGGCAGACAGACAGACAGATAGTCGGACAATCAGAGTCATCCCCCGATTTGATGGGGTCAGCTATCATAAGGCCGGGGCTAAATGATGCAAGGAATGCCCCGTTGATGTTCTAGTTGCTGTTGTTGTTGTTGTCGCCTCATGACACCCAGCAAAAACCAATAAATGTCATCAAATTTATTGCTTTTGATTCAAAAATTCTTTTGTTTGTTTCGGTTTTACAATGAAATCTATAGCGCATGGACAGAGGACACCATTCACCAACCCTCAGACTTGGCCAGCTTCTTTATAGTAATAGCCAAATAAAATTCACTGCGTCATATTTAGACATCTGTAACTTGGATAGTATAGAATTCTTCACATACCCTAGTTATAAAAAGTAAGTAGAGCTGAAGGTCTACTCACTAGTAGTAGTATGCTTGTTAATATTAATAAATAAAAATAAATAAGAATGAGGTTAGCTCATCATCCAGTACAGCTTAATTGATTTTTAGTAAATCTGATTCAAACTTTTATTATCTTCTTTGTGGCTTTATTTAGTATTTGACTTACTTACTTGACTTTCTTTAATTTATGTTTAAGTTATTCTTTGATTATCATATTTATTAAGAACACCTGTTCCATCTTGTTTCGATATCTAATTAATACTTATAATCATTAAAAAAATATATTAAATTCTCCAATCCAGTGTGGATCACACTTAAAATTTGAAGAACGATTTTCCAATTGATATTTCTTTTTAAAATAGACTAGTCAATTATGATAAATATACTTTTTAATACCGGCTTGCAATTGACCAAAACTCAACTTTTGCACTTCTGGACGTGTAGTAATTATGACAGATACGAGTCATATCTGAGGCACTCTCATTGAAATTCCATTGTTGACCCAAAGTAATATTTATGGCATGTTCCTGTTCCTGCTGCCTGTCGCACATAAATATCTCCAAGTGCATACACACATAGATATCATATATATATATATGGGGCACGTATCCTGCGGGCGACTCTTCGTCATCGTCGTCGTCGTCGTCGCTCCCTTTACAAATGCCTCAAGATACCTTCAACTGTCAACGCATCGTCAATTCTATTTTTATGTTTTATTTTCACTTATGT